ACCTTGGAAGACTTCCAGGTCCGGTCAATCTGAAAACTCTTATCCAATCCGTCAGAATAGTTCACCCAGGTAAGTTTTTACATAAATATGTGAAAGTGAACGAAAGTATACCATGGTTTTAAGGTAGACGCTAAATAGACCTCCACAACCTACTTCAACCTTTTCCAATGTTATATTATGTATTTTTTCATTTATCTCAGGAGTTCCACCAGCTGTGTTGGGAACTTGTACACCCGCCTGCTATACCACTTGCCTCGTCTCTTGTAATCCATTTTGTTGCAATTCCAAAATGGCTGCTGGAAGCAATATACAGTACTCTGCCATGCGACACGCTGTAATAACCCAAGCAAATCGCAGGCGATTTATTATGCCTGGCTTTTCGGGGTATCCAATGGCTCCCCTCCAGACCATGGTACCGCAGGCCCGTGCGATGACAGTTCCAGTGACCCTGGCAATAAGATGTGTTCCAACCGTTCAGGCACCTTGCCCACCAGGCACTCAAGTTTCACAAACTGTTCAGGGCTCTTATAAAATGCCTCAACCTCGAACTATTCAAGGAATCTTGAGCCCAAAGCGACGTCCGATCGTGTCGATCCCACGCTTGACATTGTCAAGGCTTCCTTATTCAACCAATCAGCAGGCATTTCTCCCAAGGGTCGCCAATCCAGTGCAGATACCTTGTATACCAAGTCTTTATAACCTATGTCCACCATTAATACGTCCCCCTACAAAGCCTCTGAAAGTGACAGATCCTCCACAGCACATAATACATCTTCCACCGCCTCAGATGCAGCCACCGTGCACTCCTGGCGCATTCAATCCTTGTCCACCACAAACAGGTCTTCCTTCAAGTCCTTTAAAATTAACAGATCCTCCTCAACACATAATACATCTTCCTCCGCCACAGTTACAGCCACCCTGTATTCCGAGTGCGTTCAATCCCTGTCCACCACAAATAAGTCCTCCTTTGAGACCTGTGAAAGTAACTGATCCTCCGCAGCATGTGGTTCATTTACCTCCACCACAGATACAACCTCCTTGTATTCCTAGTGCGTACAACCCATGTCCCCAGCCAATTATACCCCCTGTGAATCCTGCACTTGCACAATCCCCACCACAACAAATGAATCGTCTGCTACCACCACAGATGCAACCTCCCTGCATTCCATCTTTATACAATCGTTGTCCACCTCAGACGAATACTCCACCTTCCAAATTAAAAGTTATAGATCCTCCGCAACATGTGATACATTTGCCACCACCCCAGATGCAACCCCCTTGTATTCCTAGTGCGTACAATCCATGTCCTCAACCCATTAGGCCCCCTATAAAACCTGCACTGGCCACGTACCCACCACAACAATTTATGCGGCTGGTACCACCACAGGCGCAGACTCCTTGTATTCCTAGTGCGTACAATCCATGTCCCCAACCAATTACGCCCCCTATTATGCCTGCACAGGCCAAATACCCATCACCACTTTTATGGCCTGTGCTTTGCATTCCTCTTCCTAACCGCCCTTGTCCTCCAAGAAAGCTTTCGAAACCATCACACAAGAAGGGCAAGTCTCGAGCTTTCATGCCCAAACCCGTTGTGAGTTCCTATGTGGTCCCGTATAGCAACTTACCATACTGGCAATCTCGGGTGGCATCCTATACTCCATTTGTCGCACCGCCATTTCCAGTCTACCCAATACGGCGATTTCCAACCTATGCAACCCAAAATTATGGCCAAAAACCACCATTTCAGCGGTATCGCTCCCCTGCCTTGTCTCAGGTGTCGCCAATACAGCCGTTTGGATTGCCTCCTTGGGGTCCAATGCCTTTCCCCTATTTCAGCCGAGTTACCAAACCTTCTCTCGGTGACAAACCTAAAAAGACTTTGCCTGAGCCTCCAAAGCCCTCTCAGGCTCCTCAACCGCCTAAGCCTATTCCAGTCAAAGGACCAATTTCTTTACAAGGTTCTTTAACTCTTTATCCTAAGCCAGCACCAATAGCTCCTCCTTTTCCTTTCCCTCCGTATCCCCCAGGACAAAATCCCTTCTCAATGATCAACCCCTGCATCCCTTCTCTAGCGAATCCCTGTAATCAAAATACAGGAAATGTACCTTCAATACCTCCTACGAATTCGTACGACAGAAAATCTAGGCCTATACTTTTAACACGACCTCTGCAGGTTCAAGGGAGCATTTATCTCAAACCACCTCCACCACGCCCATTCCCTATACCGCCGAGTTATACATCAAGTGTTATGAATCCTTTTTCCAGGCTCGTTTCTCCCAAACCACCAAATGCACCTCAGATAGCTGCGTCCCCCCATTCAATAATTGTTCAGCTTCCCGAAATTTCTCTTCAGACTGCTCCAGCATCTTTACTTCCAAAGCCTATCGTTCCACCTCCACCACCTTCACCAGTCTTTCCAAGTAGCTGTCCAATATCCTGTACTCACTATCCAGGAGTATTTTGCCCTTCATATTGCGCGAAATATTGTTGTAAAAAGAGAGGTAGGAAACAGAAGAGTCCCTCGAAGACGAAAAGTAAGAAGCCTGATAAAAATAAGATGCAAAAAGAGGCCAAGGCAAAAAGCAAAGAGAAAAAAATTTTGAAAGTGAAAAAAGCTAAGAAGGGATAAGTCTAAATTTCACATGATTTTGTTAGCCAAGCTAATTCAAAAAGTTTTGTTCGCTTTTCACCGGAGCAGCTGTACTCTTTTGTGCGTTGAGCGATTATAATTCTCTGATATTTGTAGTCCTTAACGGATATAAGACAGTTTGGTTCCGTCCTCTTACACTCAAATACAATGTCATAGGGCAATTTGTAAAGGTAAAAACATAATTTCTAATGCAATGTGGTTTTGATAAGCACAAGTGAGTTTTGCACTAGCAATACGGGCTCGTACTTATTTACACCAAATTGCTCGAAAAATCATGTTATTGCTTATTAGTAATTTGCCAAAAGGTCTGGAGAGCAGCAGATATGTAACGAATTTAAGAAAGTGAACGACACTGTCGAAACATGTTTTTAAAAAAGTGTCGTTTATTTCCTTAAATTCGTTATTCGTAATTTAGAAGAAAAAAGCATCCCAGAAGGTCAAGATAGACAAAATTTGACGGCGCGCACTCGCTATTTGAAGTTTATACTCGTGCTACAACTTTGCTACATAAGAAATTAACTCGTTTTCAGCCAGTCAGAAGCGCGTAGTTTTTTCATGTTTATCATTACATTAATTTATGTATATTTCACAGACCTCACAAGAAACACTTACAGCTGGAATCGAAAATATTTTCTTGTAATTTTAATTTTAGTTTCGTAGAAAAGGTTGTGGTTATTCATCGTGATGAATAACAATAAAAGCTAAGCATGGCTCTCCTGTTGTTGTGTTTTTTTATCGTGGGCA